AGTATATATATTCATAAATGCATCAAATTCCATTTACACAATGTTTGTGCTATAGAAAATGTGAAAATTTATGTGTTTTCACTCAAAAAGGTTGCAAAACAAGTTGAAATGTGAAAAATGTCTTATTTTTCTGCAGTCTCATGTTTTTTCATATGTAGAGTTCCGCACTGAATATTATGCAGCAACAGATTAAAACAAACCACAAAGCCTCCTTATTTCTTATCAGTCTTCCTTTCAGATTATGATCAGGGCAAGAAAATGATGAAATGACATCTTTTGAGAAAGTCCAACAACATATAGCTTTTCATTTCAGCTGTGCCACAGATATTAAAAACATTTGATCAACAGCAGCATCAGTTTCACAAGCGAGAGGACCAAGAACAAAAAGCTGCTTTTATGGAATGAGATGGAAACCTGAACACTGGAGTTTACTAAAAACAACACAGAACACCCACCAGAAATGGTGGTGCAAACACAATATACACCACAGGATGTTCTCACTGGACAAATAATGGAAAGATAACCAAAATGCATTGCAAAACAGAACTTTTATCAAGTTGCTTGATAGTCTAAAGCAGTGGTTCCCAAACTTTTTATCCTCTGACCCACAAAATATTCATGGCAAAAACTTGTGACCCCAAATATTACTGGTCTGAGTACACAAACTTTGTTAATAACCCTAAAAACATAGGCTACACAAGTATAAATCCTTATTTATCTTATTTTGTGGTTTTGTAATAATTATAGGGAAAATATTACACCACCAATTATTTAATTACACTTCAAATAGATTTCTGAAGTGCAGTGGTTCCCAAACTTTTCAGCTTTTGACCCACAAAATAGCAGTAGCAGAGACCTGTGCCCGCAACTATTTTTGGATGATAAACATTTGTATCAGGTCAACTAAACATGGGCATAGTAATATTTATTATTCTACATTTATACATTTTAGGCAACTAAGGCAAAAATGTAATTTAGAAAATCTTTTCAGGACCCCACCTTGATTCATGACCCCACTTTGGGTCCCTTTCCCAACTTTGGGAACCACTGGTCTAAAGAACAAAACAAAAAGAGAAGTGAGGCTTCAAACCACTGTTTTTCTACTTCATAACAAAATAACACCAGAAAAGTCTACACTCATCTATGGGCCGCAATCCAGCAGTTGAGAAACACTGGCTTAGTGTGAACCTCAAGTCGCCAAATTAAGAGACTTTGTTTCAGCTTTCACAAAAGGTTTTCCCTTCATCATGTTGAAAATGGTCAAAAAAAGTTTCTGCAACCGCGCATACATACGCGCAAAACTCAGAGACGTACGATGATAACGTAAAAACGCTCTCCTCTTTGGCCACGCCCACTAACCCATCCGGTGGGCGGAGCTTTCCTCTGAGCCATTTATCATCAGCAGCTGAACGGTTCCCCTCAGAGGCGAAGAAGAATTATCCGGCCTTCGTAG